ACCAGCCCATGGTCCCCTGCCGGCCGCATTGAAATGGAGGAGGAGGAGGAGGAGGAGAGGTTTTCTGGCAGGGAGGCACACGAGGAACCCTGTGCCGCAGCTGTTGGACCATCCCTGGCGCCGTTTGATGGAGACGGCAGCTTTGCTTCTGCAGCGGGCTGGAAGGTGGCCCAGCAAACAGGGGACCTTCCCAGACAGAGCCAGGGCTGGATTCAAAGCGGGACAGAGCGTGGCCCTGGTGCAGGGCACGTCACCGTCGGGGTGTCAAGGGGATGTGATGGGCCCCTGAGCAGCAGCACTAAGGGACTGGGGGGGGAAGGAAACCCCAAAATCTGTGGATGGGGGCACAGAACATTGGTTGACCTCACACCGTGGCCCCAAGCCAGGCTGAGAGCGCCGGCTGGAAACCCAGCGTGGGGAGCGCACGCCCCTCTCCTCCGGCACGGAGCTGCGCTCCGTAAACAGGGACTCGCACCTGCAGGATTCGCCTCATTAAAAAAGAAAAGTGGCTTTAGGCTACGTATCCCCCCGCTCCCCGCCATCACCTAATTATTTCCACAGCAACCGGATCCGTGTCCCAAACAGAAGCGCGGGGTGACCTCAGCTGGGCACGGTGCCACGGCAGCAGGTGAGCTCGGAGGCGAAGACAGCCCGAGCGAACGTCCCCGCGGGGAGGTGAGGACGGCACGCTCATGGAAAACCTCTACCAAGACAGCATCGGGGCTGCTGTAAGCTAAACGTTTGTTGTGCTTGGGGGGGGAAAAAAAAAAAAAGCAGCCTTTGGCTCCGGGCTGCGAGTGGGTCTGGTGTGCTTGAGCAGAAACAAAGCAACGCTGCGGAGAGGAGCATCTCCGAGCACGCCGTCTGCAATCAGAGCTTCAGCCCGGAGCAGCAGTCGCTGGATCAGAACTGCCGCTGGCTTAGGGACCCTGAGAGATTGTCTCCCCCAGGCTTTCTCCAAGACTTTGGCTCCCAAGCCCTTATTCTCCGAGTTTTTTGTGCCTTGCTTTGGCTGGTGGCCATGGGACCATGGTCTTTAGGGTTCTGGCTCTGTCCTCTTTGTGGCTCGAGTCACTAGTCAGGCTTCCTATGCCTGAACGTGGCTTTTTGTTTTATTATTGGTAAACTATTATTCATATCGGTAAACTCCTATTTCGCAGCCCACAAAGGTTTAATTCAGCCTGGGCAACTTTTGGGTCAGACAGAGAGGTCTGCAAGCACACTGTGACCAAAAGAGCAAAGCACTCCAGCTGTCTAGGATAAACAGTTGTCCTCCTCCTCCTCCACGTGTGTTGCAAAGGGTGAGAAAAATCACGTGGTGCAAGATAAAACACGATAGCCAAATTATAATGAAATCAAGGGTCCAAATAAGACAAAAAGCAGA